TAAACGTGTACGTGCTGATTTGGGGTTAGATCTTTGGGATTATTCAAAATGGAAGGAGTCAAAGGCAACTGCAGAAACAATGTTGCATCATATGAAAGCTGCAAACTCAATGGCGTTGCTAACAAGTTCGAAGCTTTCTGCACTGAAAGCATTAAAAAGTGTCTTAACTGTTTACGGTGATAATGTAAGTACTCTCTTAGAATTTCTACTTGCTTTCAGTTGCCTTCTCATTGTTAAAAACTTGATCTGTAACTGCTATTTATGGTTGGATATTTTAACGATCATGCAGATGTAAAAGATGTAATGGTTTAAAACATGTTACATCTGATGCTAATTAAAAACAAATGTTGATGTGTAATATTTTACAGAACCTGTAATTTTTGTGTATAAACTATTTCAAACATCTGATTTCTCATTTCAAAGATTTTGGAAGTTGAACAGCATTAGTGACAATTTAGTCTTATGAACACTACGCTATACCTTGTGTCAAAGGTCGTATGGATTTTTTTTTACGAATATATTATTTCTTTTGAAACTAATTCATGTGTGCCTGCTACTGCAGTCGCTGGAGACGAAGAGTACAGCGAGACAAATCCCTGATCAACTTGTTTTTTCGTGCATAGATCACGTATGCCAGAGTTTCCACGACACAGTAGAATCATTAGCTCCAGTACCTGGTGCTTCTGAAGATGTCTTCCACTTCCTTGCGGCTCAAGCAGAATTGCTTCTCTATCTAATGATGTATGCACATAAAAGCCTGCCTCTGTCTGTTTGCATTCTTGTACTAAAAACATCAGGTTCTGGCCTTAAAGCGTTGAGTGATTTCAGAGCATTAGTTACGGGGCCATCAGATATGGGGGTTGACACTGCAGTAAGGCTCTTACTTATGTTGCTTCTCTCGGCGGTGGAGTTCAGTTGTCATAAGTCGCATTTGGTTGGGGCAAGAGATGTAGCTTCTGTCGAAGTTGCGGCTAAAATATCTAATGTGAGTCTTAGTCTACTACCAGTTCTCTGTAACTGTACTGCTACTGTTGAGCACGGAACCCTCTCCCTAACTACTACGGACTTGATACTTAGAAATTTCTTGACTCCCAGCACTTGGCTCCCCATTATACAGAATCACCTCCAGCTTCAGCGCGTGATTCTGAAGCTTCAAGATAAAGATTCTCTTGAATCTGTGCCTGTTATAATGAAGTTCTTTCTGACTCTTGCCCGTGTTAGGCAGGGTGCAGAAATGCTTATTAATTATGGCTTTCTCTCGTCTCTGAGATTCTTGTTCGCTGAATACTTGGATGGTATGTCTTCTTCCGTAACTATTGATAACAGAAATTCCAACTCATCATCTGAGAAACTGGAAAAGCCTCAGCAAATTTGGGGACTTGGTTTGGCAGTCATCACAGCTATGGTTCAGTCGTTAGGAGACAGTTCTGCTTGTTCTGATCTTGTGGAGAATGTAATACCTTACTTCTTTTCAGAGAAAGCCTATATGATTTCTTACTATCTTAGTGCTCCGGATTTCCCATCTAATGATCATGACAAGACCAGACCTCGGGCTCAGCAGAGACAAACTTCTCTTTCTGATCTTAAAGAAACTGAGCACACTCTCATGCTAATGTGTATGCTAGCAAAACATTGGAATTCCTGGGTTAAGTGCATGAAAGAATTGGATTCTCAGTTGAGAGAGAAAAGTATCCATCTTTTAGCTTTTATCAGTCGGGGAACTCAACGGCTTGGAGAACCTTCGACTCTTAGTGCCCCTCTCTTATGTCCTCCTGTCCTTAAAGAGGATTTTGATGGCTGCAAGAAACCCTCATTTATCAACAGTAAAAGCGGATGGTTTGCTCTTTCAGCCCTCAGTTGTGTGTCAAAACCAAAATTCTCGTCCATCCCTACCACATCTACTGCGCTGATTATGAAAACTCAAGCATCTGTAAATGGCAATCACATTTCTCAATCATACTTCTCCGACTCTATTGCCGTACAGATCTACAGAATAACTTTTCTCCTTCTAAAGTTCCTCAGCTTACAAGCTGAGGGTGCTGCTAGAAGGGCAGAAGAGATTGGCTTTGTTGATCTTGACCATTTTCCTGAGCTTCCAACGCCTGAGATCTTACATGGCTTACAGGTACGATGATAGTTTTTGTTCTTTGACTAGCTTTTTGTTTCATTATGTAAAACATCTGGTCTACCATAACTTGTAAGTTTCGAGTTGAGGTTCCTTTTTAACATGGATGTGTTATTATCTCCGATGTAGGACCAAGCAATTACAATTGTTACGGAGCTGTGTGAGGCTAACAGATCAAACGAGATTCAAATCGAAGTCCAGAGTATCTGTTGCTTACTGGTACAAATAATGGAGATGGCCTTGCACTTGGAACTCTGTGTTCTACAGATATATGGCATAAGACCTGTATTAGGGCGTGTGGAGGATTTTTCAAAGGAAGTTAAACTGTTAATAAAAGGTAAAACTCCATTTCTCTGAATACCGCCTTCCATTTGCACTGAATTCGTCGTTTCTTACCAAGTTATTGCACATTCAGTGAGTACTCATTTTTTCTTGTAATGTGTTTTGTAGCGACAGAGAGACACGCTTTCCTCAAACCATCTGTGAAGTCCTTGAAACAGATCGTATCAGTCATTTATCCAGGACTGTTACAGGCCGATGCGTTTCTGTGAGATAATCTTGTGCATATAGGCGAAAACCGAAGACTGTAAGGCTTCGGAAGATAATGTAAAAACTTTGTATCTCTCAGATGAATGGCTTCAGAAATATTCCACATTTTGCTTATAAAATTGTGGGATTTCTTTCGGCCATTCCATTTTGTATGTATTGAATTCCTTTCGAGAAAGATGTGTTGTATGATTGATGGGCAAGATTTTGTTGAATCCGTGGCCATTTATCATTGTCGCGTGCGAATTTTCTGTCCTTCCCTTTTCCAAAAGGTCCTCCCTCCATGCTTGATGGTATGATGGGTGTTTATCATTGTTTTTGGTACTAGTGGGACCTAACATGTATCTTTACCGTGGCATTGCATGTAATTTTGGAAAAGTATTTTTGCGAAGTGTCGCGGTTTCATTGCCTTTCTCTCTTTATTTCTTTCCTCACGTGATTTAGAGTTACAACAAATTTAATGAAATTTGATTTCAAGGGTAAAATAAGCAAGTTAGTGTTTTAAGTTGTTAGAATGGTGGTGGTGAGCTTGTTATTCAAGGTGTAATAATGGCTAAAAGAAGCAACTTATCTAGAACAAAATGATGGGATTGTTGAAGCAATGCTCGTTATGGGACATGTTGCTTAGTAACTGTCACGTATTGAGTGTTGGGAGAAGATATGGCCAAGCACTCAACCAAAATTACCATACATGATCACTAGTTCTAGAAGAAATTGGAATAATTTGAAGAGAATCCCCCAACTTTTGTAGAGAAAGTGCCCTCCTCTTTTTGGGAACAATGACCCTATAAAAGCATATTTGACTTGGGATTCATATTTTCCATTGGCATCTCCAATGGTGTAGGTAAATAAAATAGACAAACTATCCTATAATTATTGACGTGGTGAGTTGGCCACTCAATTGCGACATAGAAAAAAGTTTTATCACTTCAATAGAATAGTTAAATTAAGTAGGCAAATTTTAGTTTATTTCATATTTAACATCTACTTTTATATTTTATTTTATATTTTTTCCCTTTACATGGAATACTTTATTATAAAAAATAGTGATGCGGGGCACATTTGCCTATAATGTTGAAAGCAGAGTTCTAAAAAATGCTAGGCGCTAGTCGAGCACTAGGCGTTAGTCGGGTGATGTGTTAAGGCCTAGGCAAAATTAAGTTAATTAATTATATATTGTATAAATAAGTGCTTATTTATTCTTAATAAAATACATAATTGTTTTGGGATATATAAATTGTAAAATAAAATGACATATAAATTATAATGTAAAGTATAAAGTATTAGAACATATTAAAAACATGGAAACAAACATATAATAAATGTTCATCTAAATATTCAACAAGTTCTTACATTTTATTGAAAAATATCAAATGCAAAATGAAAGTTATTGGTTTTCTGTTTGAATGAGAGTCATGACCTAGGCAGGTCTAGGCGAGCGTCTAGGCTGACTAGCAGATGCATAAGCGGGTATAAGCACCCTTTCTTAGTTTTCAAACAGTTAGGGATTAATCGGGACGGTAGTCAGTCGCCTAGACGGCACTATGCAGAGTTTTTTAGAACATTGATTGAAAGTAGTGAAAATTGCCTACTTTGTAACTTGTGAGTACATGCAAAATTTGCATACGAAATTGACCACATCATTGGAGCAGGTTTTTACCTACGTGATTGTGGCTTATCAAAATAGATTTGACTATCTATTTGCCTACTCCATTGAGAACCGACTAATCTTTAATTTAATCTGATTGTTTTTTTTTTTTTGTCAAAATAAAAATAATATTAAATACAAATTGAAATGTTTAGATATCAACCCACGTTTTCCCGGTTGGTGGATCCATGCTCCATGGATATACATTAATTTATCCCTTCTTTTTTTTTTGGGCGCATAAAGATTGGCCCCCCGATCCGTAATTTCAGATCTTTTGGCTTCACATATTTGTTGGCATCTTATTAACCCTCGTGACATCTCCACCGTTGGATCTGCTCCAGATGAGGGTCGGTAAAACCAGTCAAAATTGTCAGTGTTTCACTTTTTGATTGAAGAGCATGCGTGCCACGTGTGCCTCAGCAACATGACCAACCGGCCCTCTTCCAAACGGCGTCGTTTCTCTCCTGAGATGTCGACGAACCCTTATCCGGATAATGACAAGAGCATATACCTACTTCAGTAACTTCACTCGGCCATGGGTCCCCATAACTTAACCACGGTTAAAACCCCGACCCAACCACGGTTAACCCATCCCCTTTCGGATTCTCTCCACGTGTTCCCATCCAACGGCTGAAAAAGGCTTGCCCTGGATATCCATCGCAGAAGCCCTTTTATAAACACCCTCGTCCTCGTGACCTCGTCCACGCATCACAAACCCTAATCGTACTCTCTTTCCCCAAATCACTCCTCTCCAACGAACCAATCAAACCCTAGCAATGGCAAATCCTAAGGTTTTCTTTGACATGACGATCGGAGGCCAGCCGGCCGGCCGCATCGTGATGGAGCTCTACGCCGACACCACCCCCCGCACCGCTGAGAACTTCAGGGCTCTCTGCACTGGCGAGAAGGGCGTCGGCCGCTCCGGCAAGCCCCTCCACTACAAGGGATCCGCCTTCCACCGCGTGATCCCCGGTTTCATGTGCCAGGGAGGTGATTTCACTGCCGGAAACGGCACCGGAGGCGAGTCGATCTACGGCGCCAAGTTCGCGGACGAGAACTTCAACAAGAAGCACACCGGACCCGGAATCTTGTCCATGGCCAACGCCGGTCCCGGAACTAACGGATCTCAGTTCTTCATCTGCACCGCCAAGACCGAGTGGCTCGACGGCAAGCACGTGGTGTTCGGGCAGGTGGTCGAGGGGCTCGACGTGGTGAAGAACATCGAGAAGGTGGGGTCTGGACAGGGAAGGACCTCGAAGCCGGTGGTGGTCGCCGACTGTGGCCAGCTCTCCTAGACGATGCCGTTTCGGCTGCTCATCTGTGGATGATGGAAACGTCGTCGTTCTATGTCTTTGTTCTTATGAGTCTTTAAATTTGGGTACTAATTAGGTGGCGTCATATTAGGGTTTGGGTTATGGACCTTATTATGGTTTGATTATCTGATTTTCCGTCTAATGCTCTTCCGGTGGTTTCTCATCTGAGACTCTTTATTCTCTGTCGAACTGAGCTATTATCGTTAAATAAATTAGGCTTTTTCTCAGTTATTTTATCCACTTTTTTTTTTCCAGCGCTTTATATTATAATATTAATTATGCTTGCTTATTGCTTGTGATTTAATTATGTTTAATTGTTAGTTGTTGAACCGTTTGCTTTTAGGATAATTTTAAAGAGACCGAAATTTTAAAACAAAATTTGTAAGTCAAAACGATTGGAGGAAGGTTGTTGCTCACGTGATTATTTTCTATTGGTGATATAATTTATAAATTTAGTATAAAAAGTAGGTATTTTAGCATGATATGTTTGGTATCTAAATATGGTCAAATTTATGAATTTAGGATTGTTGAGCATATTCATAAACTTTTAGTGGAAAAAAGTTGGAGAAGGACTTGTATGTAAATGGGCCCTGATATGGCGAGTGGCGAGTTTAATAATGTAATGTGACATTGTCATAAGTATGTTTTTCCACGTAGTCTGTAATCAGATTGGGACTTTAGAAATTTATGTACTCGTTGGATGTAAATTGATTTTATCTTTTTAAAATGCAAAGGCAGAGGTAAGAATGCGGGGATTGGAGGATGGCAGATATTTGATGATGCAGATCATTTGAACATGTGATATAAATTATGTACTTTTTTTGTCAGCTTTGTGTGTGGTCCATCCAATGCTATAATCTATATTTATATGTTTTTGTTTTTAGCTATAGGAGGTCCGAATTTAAAGATAATTTTTTTTCTTCTTAAAAAGTAAATTAAAAAATAGATATATGTAGATATAAAACTAAAAGAAAATACACATATGTAGTGGACAAGCTCAATAACCCAAGGAAAATTTTTGGTCTAAATTTGCCCGAAAATGAATTTTGGGTTAAAACTCATATTTGATCCAAGAGTTAAAACAAGTTGGAATAGATTTAGAATCTAAAATTTGAGTTTTAGTCGAAACTCCAATACTATTGGATTTGAATTGTGGCACATAAAAGTCCTTTAGTGATTCTAGCGGCTTTTGGTGAATTTTGTTCTTCCCTCAACCCCTTGCTAAATCTAAAAGGTATCGCCACGCACACAATTGAGGTCGTTTTACAGGAGGCCTCTTATTTTGTAAGACAACAGACTATTTCCCGGCATTAAGAACATAATTTCATTAATTTTTGTTTTTTATTTTTTTTTGTTGTCCTTAGGTGTGGTTTTACAAAGGGTTGAATTTGTAACTAAAAATAATAATGGAAAACAAATGAGATGTTTTTATTGTTTCAATTTTTGTTTGAGATGTCCAATGCATTACTATAGCTATACCACGTTATGCATTTTTCTTTTTTTTTTTTTTTTTTTGGGAATAAAGATTTGGCTCCTCAAGTAGGATCCTTGATATTCCTCATCTTCTAAACTTCATCTTCAAATCCTCAAGATTTTTGCACATGTTTGACAATTCCATAAGCTCCAAAACGCCTAGTTCTTGTTCTCCCTCCAATGCAATCCAAAATCAAGTCCAACTCTGTTCCTTCTTGTTCTATTTAATCTCTAATTGTCACTTTACCAAACTGGACCGATAATAAAACGAAAATAACATTAAAAAATCATAAAAAAGGAAAATCAACTAATTAAATAAATAAATAAATAAAATATTAAAGTTGTAGAAATATGATCCTATCTCATAAGTCCTGAAGTAATTTGATAAGAAACTCCTCTAGTTTAAAATATTAAAGTTGAGAAATTTTTCTTTATACTCGTAACACAAATTATACATCATATGTTATTTTAAAAATGGTAAAAAAATATATATTTTATGATGTTAAGCACGGATTGGCTGCTTAAACTAGAGGAGTTTCTTATCAAATTACTTCAGGACTTATGAGATAGGATCATATTTCTACAACTTTAATATTTTATTTATTTATTTATTTAATTAGTTGATTTTCCTTTTTTATGATTTTTTAATGTTATTTTCGTTTTATTATAGATCCTATCTCATATGATGTATAATTTGCGTACCTTTTGTTGACGTGCACCTTCCAGAAGAGGAAGGACACTCTCGTCTTTCAGTGTGGCCCCACAACAAGTCACGGACCAATGAAATCAGCCCCCGCAACATGGTAAGTAGCACGCGAAGCAGGGGATCATTACTTCCTTCCGCACGGCCACGGAAACTTCCGGCCAGACGACGGAACCTGCGAGTCGGGAGACGGAGAAAGAGAGAGAGACAATTTCAGTTTAGCAAAATAAATCAGGAATAATTATAATTAATTAGAAATTAGAAATCGCGATCAGATCTCTCTCTCCTCTCGAGAGCTGAGCTTCACAGGCGTATTGCAATTTGCAGAGAGAGCGAGAGAGGAGTGAGAAACCAGTTGTTCGACTCTGATTGGCGGGAAATCGAAACCCTAGAAAGAGAGATGGGGGTTTCGGAGAATGCGAAGGGGTTGATACTGGCGATGGCGTCGAGTGCGTTCATCGGCGCGAGCTTCATCCTGAAAAAGAAGGGTCTCAAGCGCGCCGGGGCCGCCGGCACCCGAGCAGGTCAGTTTTATATGAATTTTAGTCTCAGATATTGAGAATTTGGAGTAAATTGCAAATGTTTAATCAAAGATTCAATTTTTAAAAATAATTAGTGATGTGTTGATTGAAAATTTGGAGTAATTTACAAAGATTTAATCAAAATTTGTTATGGTGCTCCCTTTGATTTGTTTGAGTTGGGTAGGAGTTGGTGGATATACATACTTATTAGAACCACTCTGGTGGGCTGGCATGATCACTAGTAAGTGTAGCTCCCTCTCTCTTTTTTCTGCAGAAAATTTTACTGATCTCATAACTATATATGATCATGAGTTACTGAAATTATATTCGGTTTTCGATTTTTTCAAATGGGTAGTGATTGTTGGGGAAGTTGCCAATTTCGTGGCCTATGTATATGCTCCGGCAGTTCTTGTAACCCCACTTGGTGCACTGAGTATAATTGTCAGGTAAATGCACTTGTAGACGCTGAGTTCATCGCTGAGCTGATTATTGTTTTGAAAGTTTTTGTTACCGACTTACGTGTTTGTTGGATTTGTCTAGTGCTGTTTTGGCTCACTTCTTGTTGAAGGAACGAATAACGAAAATGGGTATCGTGGGATGTGTTACCTGCATCATGGGATCAGTCGTGATCGTGATCCATGCACCTCAGGAACATACTCTAAATTCTGTAGAGGAAATCTGGGTCCTGGCTACCCAAACAGGTTCGTGACCCCATATCTCTTCCTTTTCTTTTTCAATGCTACTTGTCGTAAAACCTCCATTGACTTGTAAGTTGTAATTAACTTTTTGTGTTTTCCTTTTCTACACAGCCTTTCTGGTTTATGTTGTAGCTACAATTTCCCTAGTGTTAGTTTTGGTCTTGCATTTTGAACCACAATATGGGCAAACGAATATACTAGTCTACTTGGGAATCTGTTCCTTGATGGGTTCACTTACGGTAACTATCCTTTTCTTGTTTGCCAAGCACGTATAGTCATTTTGTTCTTATGTGCTCAAATATTGTTAGGCTTGGCTGTGTACCTCTGTTGTGCTACTTCAGGTTGTAAGCATAAAGGCAATTGGAATTGCAATAAAGCTAACTCTTGAGGGAGTAAGTCAGATTGCTTATCCTCAGACGTGGTTTTTTCTGACAGTTGCTATAATCTGTGTTGTTACACAGTTAAATTATCTTAACAAGGTCAGTTTTGCTCTTTTAATTTTGGCACCTTCCTCCACTACCATCGTCATTGGCGTTTGAATGGCCTTTTTTTTTTTTTTTTTGCTAAAAGTGTTTGCTCTACCTGAATGCCTAACTTTTATTGGCTTTCTTAGATCCTGTTCAGCCCATTTGTTACCTTTCAACTACATTGTGTTCCTAGCCTATAAAGGAGGGGAATTTGATGTACTCTACTTTTGCTATATAACTTGTCAATATAAAGCAGTAGATAAAGCATACAGTATTTGCATTCTGATAAATTTGGAAATTTCTCAAATCTGAAATTTTATTTGGAGTTTGAAAGTAACTTTAAGTTGGCCTACTTATTGAAAAATTCGACTTATCACATGCTGCTTGGATGTTAATCTTGTTGGTATTTCATTTCAGCCATCTGTAACTCAGATCTCTCTAGGAAGTTCAAATTATAAATTATTACGTGCTCAGTCTCATATCACTGATGTTGGTGGCATCTTTGTTTCAGGCTTTGGATACATTCAATGCAGCAATTGTTGCCCCGGTATATTATGTGATGTTTACAACTCTGACCATAATTGCTAGCGTAATAATGTTCAAGGTAGATTGATTGTTCTATATAGTGGGGTTTCCTTCTGATGCCGTCATTTGTTACTTGTTTTCCATGCATTTTTAAGACATGAGATTATGATTTCACATTGTTTTATATATTCTATACAGGATTGGTCTGGTCAGAATGTCAGCAGCATAGCCTCTGAAATATGTGGATTCATTACTGTGCTGTCAGGAACCATCATACTGCATGCAACAAGAGATCAGGAACCATCTGCTCCACAACCACAAGGTATTTATATGGACTTTGTTTCCTTAAGTTGTATTATAGGGGATTTGGGGCTCTTTGTTACCTTTTAATTTGTCCTTTGAATTCGGATCAATATGACAAGTACAAATTCTTCTCTAATAAACGGGTTGAACATAAAACAGATGCATGCTAAATTTGATCCCAATGATGCGAGACATTTGGTTTCCTCTTGATAGGAAAACAATGATCAGGAATAATATTTACAATGTGCCTGAAGCTTTACTCAGTTGTAACATTCCATCATCATTGTAACTGCTACTCTATTTGAGCACCAAAAGAGAAAAAATTTCGGGGGTAGTGTTTCTTTATTGGGTTGAATTGTTTCAGGTTGTGATTAACACATTGGTTTGACTAAGGGTCATATTACACTTACAGTTGGCAGTAATATTTTCCTTCATTGCTTATGATTGGTACGAGGAGATGCTTCTTCCGAGTGCTTTTAAAACATATCATGTAAATCTTTGTATTGAGTATTGACTTGAGCTTACAGTAGTTCTTCTCGTC